TTTTTTTTTCAGGTTCAAGCTACAATTGCCCCAGAAATATCAAAGTAAGTTTGCTTCCTTTCCCTATGCCTATAGCTAGTGCATTCCTGGTTTTTCAATGGAAAATTCCGGATCAACTACAGAGAGCAATGGAACAAATTGCAATCATGAGGCCTAGAATTACATAACATCTAAAACAATTAATTATAGGAGAAGGCCATGCTTTTTTCTTAATTTCCACCGAATGTGTTTGTGTGCAACTGTGAACTTCGCTTGATTTACATTATATTATTGAAATGAGTCACGAAGAAAGTGTCTGGCCATGGATATTTGATCCCTTCAGCTTTGCTACACAGCAATAAGGTGGAAAACTCACCAAACAAACACTGAATTCAAAATTAACCACAAAAGTTTACTCTGATTTGCAAAAAATAATAATTTTTTAACAGCATTTATGAAGCGATAAAAAAAATATATTATTTCATCAACTAAACAACTTCTTGAAGAAAGTGTGATCATATACAATCATATTGGAACTCACTGGTAATGAGTCTTGCTTGCACAGAGGTTTCTTTGTGAAGACTTCAACTTGAAGAACATCATCTGGTGCCACAGCAACAGCCTCTGGTAAGGGAAGTAAACACTGAGGAGCATCTTGAAATGAAACTAGCCATTGCAATTCAGATGCAGCTGGATGCTTCCTGTCGGAAAATTTCTCTAGCAGACTTTTTGCTACAGTCTCAGCTGAAAGCTGAGTGGACAGCTTGGTCTCCAAAACATCTGCCGCTTCTGATGAGGGACTGAAGGTTGCAACTGACCCAAGTGTAACAGAGGAGGTGCATAAGTCAGTATCATATTCCTGAAGTTGTTTATCAGATGTACTAATCTCTTCCCATTCAGGACTAAGTTCATCTTCACTGTCGCATGCTGATCCTGTGAACATAATAAACACTTCCTCACTAATCAAGGACATTAAATTTTGTACAAAAATCTTCGCATTACTTAAAATTTTTACTGTCTAAAAAAGAAAAGAAACCCAAATCAGGAAAACAACAACCAAAAATGCAGTCAGTCACCAAACAATCTGTTCATTCAAACATAACAGGAGAGCACATTATTAGTAAGGTCATCACAATGTACACATCTGTATCAAAGAAGTAATTTGATAGTACTCTGCTTTATTGCTTGTGATTATAATTTATGCAAACCGCCAAATCAGGGCACAGGTTCATGATACAAGGAATTATTAATATTTCAGTTCAGCAAAACGTGACATATTTCATATTTACCACCAACATCTACTATTACATAACGACCGAGTTTGATTACTTGAAATGTGACTCTCGCCTTGCAGCATATTGAAGCGTTGTATTACAAAGGTTTGAATTTATAAAGGTTTGTATGGGGAAAAACGGTAATTGACATTATAGCCGAAATTTTGATGTTTTGCAATAAAAAAGCCTTACCTCAATGCCTTGTTGTCTTTTCTATTGTCATCTTTCTTCTCAGCTCAATCTGAAGCCTTTTAGGCAAGTTACAGTTGAACCTTCCATAAGTGACCACCCAAAATGTCAAGCCTAGCAGGTCACTTACGGGAGGTGGTCGCTTAGGAGAGCTTAGACCATATTGAGTCAAAATTTGGCCTCATTAGCACATGGTAACTGCAGAGACTTATCCCACGTTTTAGATGTTTATTCATGTGAAAAGTCAATTTTGAGAAAAAATCTGGTACTTCACATTGAGAAATTTTTGTCTCTTGTACTACCCAGGAACGTGATAATGTTACAATTTAAGCTCTATTATTTGTCAAGTGGTCACTTAAGGGAGGTTAAAAACAATAGAAAATTTCAAACTTTAACTTCTAAAAGTGGTCGCGGTTGCTTGCAAGAGGTGATCTTTTACAAGAAGTTCCAAATATAGTGATTTGACTTAGAAACTTTTGGAATTTTGGAAAACTGGTCGCTGAGGAGAGCTGGTCACAACCAGAGGTTCGATTGTACTGCGCTTTGGTTTTCCTCTCCTAACAAAGAATAAAGGCTAGACACTCGATTGTGGACTGAGCCCCGCTCAAAGTGAAAAAAAACACTGAAAGCATGCCAGCTGTCCCAATTCCTCCTCAGAATCATAGCACAGGGTTAAGCGCTCCCTTTCAGTTAAATCCCAAGCCAAATTCATCTCTACAGCGCACGCTACAAAGCTCTGAATCAAAGAAAGCTAGCCATCCGGACTGAGAGATGATGCTGCCAGGACCCACCATGGACATTTCAAGCCCAAGTGGAATTCCGGGCTAACAAATTGACCCTGACCAGGGGAAGGGAGCGCAAAGTTCTCAACAAGCCATGTACTTTGCTCCANAAACTGAAAAAAAGAGGAAGTTGGCCACATTTTTGGAGCCGCACTTTATAGCTCAAAAAGGCTGTGGTGAACATACAGCCACAGCAACTCCTGGTTTCCACAGCCTGAACCAATTAGGAGCATTTCCATCCCCTCTGTATGGGATGCAAGTCCAACAAGCCCTAGGATTTCACGGTAATGATCGTTTCTGGTACTGTGTCGTTACTGTGATTCAGAAATAACAGACATCTTCAGCCTTGCCAATCATAATTCATTTGACAAATGCTTATTTTTTTTCTGTTCTACTTTTCACATTAAAGTAGTTCCTTTGATTATAGCACTCCAATTATATATGAAACTAAAACGCTGTTTCACGTCACCCATTCGTCATCTTGTATAAATCCCAAAGTGCACTGCACAGTATGTGCAATACGGGTTGGGACGGATTTAAGATGGCACACAAATGGCTGATATAGAACAGCTACAATTGTTGGTTTTCAACCCAGCAATCATCAGCTTACATGGAATCCATTGGTGACTGCAAAGAAGAATTGCAAAAGCTGACCTTGTATAATTAAAGGACATTCAGGAAGAGGTAATTCTATTCTGAATTCGAGATTGTTATGGAGAACATCACGTTGCTTACTAGCCAAGATCCATGCCACTGAGTACCTGTAAGCTTATATATAGTGTTCGTTTCATTTCTTTCTCTATTCTCTAATATTATTTCGTTTTCTGTTATTTGCATCCAAATCAAGCGCAACATTTTGTCAAAATAATTTCCATTACCCATCATTTCCCACAATCACTAGACACAGAACTGAAAAAGTGTTAGCAATGACATTTGAAATCCTAGGGCTTGTCCAACACAGGACAACTACCAGCACCAAATTTGCTGGTAACCATTTATCCTCAGAGAGAGGAGCTGTAGAGTAGAGTGTAGCTCAAGAACAATGTGACTTGCTGCAATGTAGCTTCCCTGGATCTAAATTGTTTGTTTCTGAAGCTTCGTTGCTCAGCCCCACTTTCTGCTATAAACACTGAGAGAGGTTAAATAAAGAGAATATAATTTCATCATCTATTTACTTATTTATGATTTATTTATGACCAAACTGAGAGTCAAATTTCTAAGCTCACTAAAAATCTCAAACAGTAATAATTCTAACCCCTTGGTATGTTTGGAAAGAATCTGACAGCAATACTATGGACAATGCTCATATTATCCAGCTGCCCTAAAACATGTCATACATAATTAATTATTACAGCACCATACACATTATAGCACCCAGAGTATAACAGCAAACACAAATGCAGCACTTTATTCTACTCCACATGGGTACTCAGATATAGCCCATGAAAACATCTTGCTGCTAAAGTGTATCCTGTCCACCTTGGATGGCACTCATTTTTCAGTAATTAAACTTAATTCAACACAGTGCAACTAGAGACAATTTTTTTATTGAGACTCACTTGATGAGTTTGTCCATGTGCCTGGCTCTGAAGTGGATGATTGTGTAGTTTCATCACTAAAAGCAGCCTGTTCCAGCAAATGTTTTCCTTGCTTTTTCTCCCATCTCTTTCTTTCAAGTTCCTCCTTTAAATGAAGGATCTCTTCATCTTCTTCCTCGTCTGAAGAGTTCACATCATCGCATTTCATCTAAATGATGTTAGATCACATACATGTAACTGTAGTACAAGAAATTGACTAGAAAGATGCTTTAGCTAGAAAACTCAAGTAGACGATTTTGAACTGCCTGCAAAGGATTCACAAGCTAACCATGCATTCTACATTTGACAAGGTTTGGTGAATAAATTCATTGTTACTTATATCTTTTTTGGTTATCTCCTGTAGTTATAATTCTCTGTTGTTGTTTTTTTTTCTATAAAACAGAGAAAAACATACCAACCTAAGTGATAAATTATGTGCCTGGAACAGAAGACAAGAATGAAATTGTGTGCTTAAATACCGTAATCTGATTATAATTCCTGGGCTTATACAATTTCGTAAGCACTTTTAGATGCGTCTATATTCAAGGGGGATTATAACCAGAACAAAAACAAAAAACGTTTTGAGCTAAAGCTGCACATGTTGATCAATATAGATTTTTCATTTACTGGTATATAAGCTTCAAAAAATTGTAATAAAACATTTTCAAAACAATGAAAGCTAGGGGGTCCTATAACTGGATGTATTGTGGTTCGGTTTAAAGGTACATGGGCTTATAACTGGGGGGCTTATTAGCGGCAGTTTACAGAATACAAATAAATGGATTTCTCACCAGCTGAGCTTGCGAAAGAGGCAAGAAATGAGGTTCTCACACACTGAAGTGGGGGCTGGGCCTGAGTTAGATATCACGTGTCATGCTAGGTCTCGTGACTCAGTTTTCTGTTTCTTGCCAGACGAGCAACAGCTTTTTTTGTCNTGTTTACCTAATTTTGACTGTCTTACATCCTACACGAAAAAATCAATAATTCCTGCTTCCTGTCCATGAAAAGAACCAACTTCCCACCTCCTGCCGACCCCTTGCAATCGCGCATCCCGCCTTCAAATTTCCTTTATCCCGCATCCCAGCAGCGAAAAAAGGCTCATCCCATATCTCACCAACCCTATGTTAGAACCTCAAAATAATTTTAAGAAATTAACTTCCTTAACAGAATATTATAGACCCTGTACTACAACAGAGAATAAAAATTATTCTGAAAACTGTAGACATATCTTGAAACAGAAATGAGCATAAACAAACCTTCCTTTAATTACTAAAGAATATCATTCTGTCCTACAACAAAGGTGGGTGGTCATTATGCTTTCATTAATATTTTCCCACACACCGCTGGGAGCCATGCCAAGCCTAACCACACAGCCTGAACTTTATTAACATAAGTACATAATTGTCTTACAATGACACAAAAAGTGGCTAGAGAATAATTTCACCCCAACTTAACACATTCTACAAGTACTTCACGGGTGGGTGGGTGGGGCATGTCAGGCAGTGGCAGATGGCGAAACAAAAACTGAAACCTTACACAAGCCACGTAACCTGAAACCCCCCGCACACCTGTACCCAGACTCCCAGCCGTGTGTGAGAAAAATGTTTTCCGCTTCTTTCGTTCCTCAGCCAACGGAAAACCACACGTATGGCATTGATGTTTAAGGTTTAGGTGAACAACAATTCAAATAAATCAACCAAAGCTCTGACAACAAACTACTGTTGTAGGTATTTTTGTTCTCATTTTCTTTTTCTTCTTCATAAAGCAGGTTCATTATTATTTCCTTTTATAATGTAATAATGGAAGTGCATACAATCAGGTTTGATTTCCTATAAAATGTTATGGGAAACAACGAGGAACATTATTTCTAAATTTACTGGTAATAAGGAATGACTGATATAGCATCCATAATTTGTCTTTTTACATACTTTTTCATTACTAATTCAAGGCCAAGTACAGTATGTACCTAAGTAACTTAATCATTGATTTTAGCACTATTGGTAAATACCTTATCTAATTCACATGAGCTAAAGTCCTGTGATGCCAAAATTGTTGCTAAGGATTGTTCCTGATATGGATCCTCCAAATATGGATCATTGCAGTACAATGACTCTGCAAAGATAAAAAAGAAATATGGGAGTGCGTGCACGGGGTGCACATGGACAGCAATGAACTCAACATAGAAATTAATATTATTATCTGGCAAGGCAGTCGTTTGGTTATGACTGGGTCTTTGAATGATTAAAACCAGTTACCTGCCTTTCATTGCCTGCGTAAAGCCCCCTTTTACATTAAATAGCTCATAGAGATGAACTAGTGTACAGTACTTAATAGTTGTCTGAACTGTGCAAATGACAATAGGTAAAAGTTTAACAGCAAATTCATCGCTGCAAAGTTCTGAAATTTGAAGCATACATGTACACGAGCAAACTATTTCAGTGTTGCAATGTCAATTTGAATTTTTGAACCAATCAAGAGGGCAAAAGTGAGATGACATTACCATGTTACAATGATGTCTCTCTTGCAAACCAAACTTTGAGATGATTGCATGATACCAGTATTTTTTGGTTAGCACGTAAAAAGACCCATCCATAATTAAGCTATGCTTGTTTGGATGGAGTGGAGTTGAGAGGTTGCTTGACACTACATTTCAGTCCAGTAGGTCTTCATATTAGTCAAGGTCTTCATTTTAGAGCAGGGCCTTCATATCCGTCAAGACTTAAGGTCTTCATTCAAGTCCAGGGTTGTCATATTAGTCTAGGGGTCTTCATTTAATCGAGGTTTCATCTAAGTCCAAGGGTCTTCATTTTAGTCTAGTGGGTCTTAATTTTTGTCCAGGGTCTTCATTTTAGTTCAGGGTCTTCATTTTAGTCCAAGGGTCTTTGTTTTTGTCAAGGTGTTCATTTTAGTCCAAGGGTCTTCATTAATTTTTAGTTCAGGGTATTCTGTTTAGTCCCATAAGTCTAGGTCTTAGGTGTTCCTTTTAGAAACACCCAAGTTGGTTGTTTTCCAGAGGTCAACTATAGTTTCTTTATGCAAAATAAAATATTGTTAAATGTGTTATAAGACTGCTTGTTAAATTATACATGATTAAAACTGAGGGTGGTGATTGTAAAAGCACCACATCTAGCACAACAGCAAATAAGCAAATACTAAACATGTGCCTTAGCAAACTAAAATGAATGAGTTAATGGTAAGATTTACAGTACTGGGATACTTGCCATCACCTTTACATTTGGTATAATCCATCTGTACAAGGAAGTCAACCCAAGACCATATGTACACATATTCCTCCAGGTCAAATAACCAGCTCAAAGTACTGTCTCTTTCCTTTGCATCATACAGAAACAATAGGCAAGCTTGCAAGCCCTGAATATGGACTATTAGAATTTTAACTCTCTTATAAGTATTCTTACCTGAGGTAGTAGGTAGTGAAGATGACATTCTGCAAACACTGCTGAAAGAATCCTGATTCTCACTTTCATGGTACTTTGGCACTTCAATGACAGACTTATGCTTATGAAATTTTGGAACACCTCTTTGATCTGATTTTGACCTGGTGTGTCCCAAAGCTTTTCTCATTTGGTGGTCTGTAACAGACTCAGAACTGCTGCTAACATATTTGTCACAAGATCTTGTTTTAACATACGGAAGAATGGATGTTTCTAGCGACCCATTGTTTGAAATTGCTTCACTTGTTGGGCAGACCAAATTCTCATTGAGACTACCAGTGCTAGCTCTTCTGGGTTTATGAAATTGGTCTTCATCATGACCATCAAACCATTCACCTGGACATGTAGCTGTCTCTTCACCCTCTGTTACAGCAGACAAGGCTGCATATGCCAAAGTTGCTCTCACATTCTGTCCTATTTTTGATGGTCCAAAAGAGTTTAATCTTTGCGAGGGCAAAGTCAAGTTGTTTCCTTCTCCAACTGTATTTTCTTTCTGAGATGTACTTTTCCTTTTAATTTCACTGCTAGGATCAAGATCACCATTCCTTGGTAAAATATAAGAAAAGTTCTGACCAGACTCAGAGGGATACAGTTCAATGTTTTCCTGTAAAAGAACAGCAGGGTGGTAATCTGAATAATCAGTCATTTCAATCTGACTGTCCTCTAGTGAACCATACAGTGAAAGCCTCTGAAAGTCCTCCTTTCCACTACTGCTGTCTGTGCTGTTTGAAGAAGACAATTCATCACCAGGTTTTCCTTGGATGTGATCAGGTAAAACAGAAGACTCCAGCAAACCAGCATGAAAATATGCACTATCTTGCAACCACACCTCAATGTATTTTTTCTTGTTCAACTTAAAATTCAAATCAAAGTTGTTTTTAATCAGTACCAGTGTTTCATAAAACACAGACATAATTATGAGTATGTTAACCTAACATGTCTCTTAGTTCTCACATAGTACATAACAAATTTGGTTCAATATCATTTTGCTTCAAATCTGCTTCCTGCATAAGTTCTACCAGTGCATGTCTCCTTATTATTAGCAGAAGATTTCACAACATTGCCGTTATCACAAACTGTGAGACTTGTATTAAATATATTGAATCATTAAAAAAAAAATGCCCCACTGTGCTACAACCACATTTACTACTATTTCCATCAAAAATACTTTATGAAAACTAGCTAGTCTTCTCTACACTCCATAACTGTTGCAGATAATTCAAGGGGTGAGTGCAAAACCATGCTAAGTGACAATTTGGGTGAAAAAAAAATTTTCACGAAAGGGCTTGAATTTTTACATGTGGTCTTCAATGTAATAGAAAAACGTGGTCCTGTATTTTTCCCACTGGCTTTTGCTTCGTTTATGAAGACGCCGCTAGGAAAACC